TATGTGTGTGTGTGGCTTTGGGCGCATGTGGGTGCTTGTGTGTGTGTGTGTGTGGCCATATGCAAAAGCGTCAAACGGGCGCCACAATTTGCGCAGTTTTTGGGCTGACCAAAATTTGATTTATGCCTTGATTCGATTTAATTTTGATGGCCAACTCCAAGCTGGCGATCGCAAATTATATATAGATGAATATATATTTATATATGTTCCATACGTCTGGCACTGCTTTAACGAATGTGACACGACACTTAAGCAATTGTAGTCGAATTAGACTGGCACCGTTTTCACCTTACAAGCAATATGGCGATTTTTTTGTTATTAAATTGTAATTCATTGATTAACTTGTGTTTATTCAATTATTTGTGGTTTGATTTATTCAACTTTTTTCTTTGCAGCCTTTTTGTGTTTTTGCAACATTTTGCACATGACTTGTACCTTTTTCAGGCATTTTTGAATTATATTTATGTTTTCTTCTTATTTGTGACACATTTAACCTTCACCGTGTTTGTGAAAGTTGTGAATTATTTATTGCTCAATGTCAATTAATTGCACGACTTATTATCACACACACACACACACACACACATACACACACACACATAACAAACGAACTTTGTTTTTCTTTTATGTATGTATTTTTTGTTGCACACTTTTCTTTTTTTTTTGCTCCAAGGTTGTTTTTAGCGCAACCTTAGCCTTACATTTTTGAGGCACACGTTAAGTTTCACTTTGGATTTCTCGCACATGTTTTTTTCGCGGCGTTTTTCACGAAATTCGCTCCGATTTTGCGCTGTTTGCCATTATTTTATGGTGTTAGTATTATTTTTGTCGTTTTCTGTTTTATTTAGATTTTTTTGCGACACGTGCGATTTTTACGACGAGTTGTGGCCCGCAGCGGCTGTTTACTCGCCTTTAAAGTTCATCGAAAACTAATTTCGTTTCGATTTCAAAAAAAACCTCAATGGAATTTTGCTTTACGTTTTCGCTTTCCTTTAGCGCCTACCCTTGTTGTTGTTGTTGTTGGTGTTGTTGTTGGTGCTGGTGGTAATGGTGGTGCTGGGAGCCTACAACATTTCCAATAACAATGTTACAAGTTCGCCATATTGTTGTTGCTGCTGTAGCAGCACTTTCCCATGGCGCTTCCAATGCACAACTAAAAATAAAGTTAAGCGTGGCCATAGCGACGACAACAGCGACGTCGACGTCGACAGTGACGATGACTGCGACAGCGACTGCGACGGCGACGTTGACTGCGATAACATTGACAGCTGCTGCTGCCGCATTCTAGGGTTCAGTCGGGGTTAGGGGCTACCCCTGTTTTCTCTTTTCCGTTTGCCTGTTGTTGTGTTTGTGTGTTTTTGCGCTCTGTGTTTTCCACCTCCAAGGCGAGTGGCAAAATCAGCGTGTTTGTCTTTGCTTTCCAGCGAGTGGTTGGGTCAACCTCAAAGCCCACACCACCCCCCCCCTGTCCCCCTGCCGCCCGCAGTCAAGCGTAGGCGAGCGCGTGTTGGATGCTTGACTAACTGTTCTGTCTAACTGGATTGCAAGTGCATTAGTTGTTGTTGTTGTTGTTGTTGTTGCTGCTGTTGTTTTTGCTGCTGAATTCGTAGTAAAGAGCATGACGCTGCAGCAAATGAAATGCAGTGAATGAAATGACGTCGCTGCCCCCAAAGCAGGCTTTTGGGAGTGAAGTGAGCAGCGACTGCTGAAATCTGATCTATGCGCAGATATAAATACAATGTGCATGGCGTCATCAGAGTTACAGTTACTATCGATGGTAATACATATATAATTTATATAATGTATATATTAATTAAATAACTTCAATGACAGCTCTTAACTGATCTTATTGACCGATCGATTCAATCCAATTTTCTTCATAATATTATGCTTCATGGTTGTAAATAATTTGTATCAAATATTGAAGAAAAAATTATTGAGAATGATAAAGAAATGAACATAATATTTTACTCATATTGCCTACATTGACAATTAGTTATCAAAAAATTTGAATAAAATGCACGTCAGCTGAAAAGTTGCTTATGCAAAGGCTTGCCAAAAATAGCAACTACGACCAACAAAGAATTGTCATAGATTAATTGAAAAGATAGGATTATATGTATGCATAATAATAGTGCAAATTAAATTTCATTCAGCTAGTTCCCAACCAGCTTGAAAGTAGAGTTCTAAATAAATTCACTCAAATAGCAAAAACATATAACTATAATTCTCTATTTCACTAAACGAGGCACATAAAATCAGGATATACAACTAATTTAGTTTAAAGAACATTTCACAGTATGCGCAACCCCTTGACACAGTGCAAGCAACTCCCAATACTTCTCCGCACCCGCACCCACTCCCACTAAATTCGGCAACCCCGCTAAGCCGGAAGGTCGTGTTATTTCTAACTAACTCAGAGCAGCAAATACATTTTTAGGCTTAAATCAAATAAATTTGACATTATGCGCGCTCATCGCAACATCATCAGCTGCTGTTAAGGCCATGGAAGAGCCAAAGAGATGGCATTGCGGGGTTGCGGTGGGTGGGTGGGTTTGGTTGGGTGGCCTATGGCGGATCAAATGGTAGGGGCTGAGTAGGCGGACAACGGCAAGCAAATGCAGCGCATGCGTTTTGCCATCCATTTGTGTTTGTTTGTGGGAATTTTCCAATTTGTCGCTGGAAGCAATTCCAGCGCATGTCGCCTGCGTTGCCTGTGACTATTGTGAATCGAGCACAGTGGTGAAATAGCCACACACTGTGGTGAACTTTCGGCAGCCGCGTGGTTCTGTGTGGTGATTTTCGAAGGGTAGGCGCCGGTGCAGCTGCACCGAGACATACGCTAGACCAGCTGCAACAAGCTTTGAGTGCAGAAGAGGGTGGGGGTGGGGGGTCGGTTGCGTTGTGTTGCGATTGTCTCAGTATGGGGGGAGGAGAGTGTTGAGAGTGTAGAGAGCTACCGTATCAGTGGTTAAGGTACCGTTGCAGTTGGCAGAGTTTTGCACACAACTTTCAGCCTGCCTGCTTATCGACATTGTTGGGTAGACCAAAAACTTTGCGCCTAATTTTATGCCACAGTTTCTAGCAGCAGGCCGCGGCAAACTTGGCTGCCAGACAACAACTCGCACTTGGTACTTTATTTTTGTTTTATTTTATTTTTTTGTTTTTTGGGTGGTTGGTGGGGGCAAAGTTGAAATCAATAATTATTATATGCTAGTTTGCGCTGTTGGGTGGGTGTGCTGAAGGGGTGTGGCAAGTGCAACATGCTTGCCAGAAACTTTGTGCACGCTAATGTGCAGCAATAAAAAAGAAGGCAAGAAATTTAAATCACCCGTCGCCATGTTGCATGCCACCACATGCCTGCCTGAGCCTGTCTTGCCTGTCCTGCCTACTTATTGAGGAGGCTGGCAGCCAAAGTGCCAACAAGAAACTTTCTAATTAGGATAATAAATTTGGCCAGCAACGCACTTGACAGTGTCGCCGGCGATGTCGCTCAGCAAAACATGAACCAAGGCAACAGTGCTCCCCCCCCCCTATCCCCCTACCCCACTCACCACCTACCTTTAAGTAAAGAGCAACTATTTTGATATCTTGCGGTTTGCCTTTGGCTACTACAACTACCACTACAAGTACGGTTGGTGGTTGGAAAATGTGTTTTCGGGTCAGCTGCTGCTCTTCAGGCTGTGCCCCGTTGCTGCATATAATTTATGCTGATTGCATTTAACGGCCAGGAGCACAACAAAAACAGAATTGCTCGCCTTAAAAAGTGTAGGGGGTTCAAAAGTGAGCACTTGTCGCGGTGCTTTTGCCTGTTCTCCGCCCAGTCAACAATTTATTTTTATTTTATTTCGTTCATGTTGCCATTGCCACTGCCTGCTGCCGCTGCCTGCTGCCTGCTGCTGTTCAGAGTCAAGTGGCCCCAAGATAAGCGCCTCCAAATGTTTCCCTAGCAAAAAGAAACTATGTGTGTGGTCCGCTTTCTATTTTTGCAATGTGGTGCATGCAACTTGCATTTTCCTTTGTGGCATTTGAAAAACTTTTCTTTGCCCAACAAATTTTCACAGTGAGAAATTATGTGGAAAATTTAGGACTTCCTTTCTAACGGCCGCCAGCTGCAGATTACGCTATAAAAGCAGGTCAGCAAAATGGCCATATTCAATTTGCCAGCTAAAAAAAAAACTTAAATCGAGCTTACTTTAACCGCCAAATAACTATCTAAATTTACAACTAGCTTAGGTAAAGACTTAAGACTTAGGAGGATAGATGAACAGTCAACAATAATGGAAAAATATTAAATATGTATGTACATAAAGAAAACATATAATTTTTGGTTTAATAAAAGTGTTAGAAAATCTGATGGAAATTGTTGAAATTGTTGCTTCAAAGAACATTAATTTAAATGTTTGTAAGTAGAAAGCCAAAAAGATCTAAAGGAAAAGACAACGCACCAATGAGAGACAGCAGTGTGTTACTTTTTTGAAAAGATTTCATAGATATATAAATATATATGCACATTTAGATTTCTATATATATATATGAATATATATCTATATATATATTTTGTGATATTTAATATAAATATTATTATTTTCTTAACGAGCGAGTCAGAAGAGTGTTTTGAGAGAGACAGAGACAGATACAGAGATAGAGAGAGAGAGAGAGATACAGTAAGAATTAAGAGTTTGATCAAAACAGAAAAGTTTTCTCTTTTTTTTTGTTTTTTTTTTTTAAACGCCTAAAATGGACACTTAAATTTCTTAAATTGGAATCGGGGTTAAAGAGACACAGCGATACAGAGATATATATATAAATATATATGTATGTAAATATATGTATAGAGAGAGAGAGAGAGAGAGAATGAACGCTAGCGCGATCAACAGTTACATTTACAGAGAGAGAGAGAGAGAGAGACAGTCAGAGCGATAGATATAGACAGAGATACAGAGAGACAGAGAGAGAGGCATAAAAGTGTGCAAATTGGAGAAAACGCAAAAGCTCACCATCATAATCGCTGCCAGCGTTCACAGTATGCGACTGCGACTGCGACTGCGCCTGTGCGGCCATCAGATGACTCTGGAACTCCTCCTCGGAGCTGCTGAAGGATCGCTGCTGCTGTGACGCATACTGCGCCCCGGCTAATGTCCGGCGCTGCTGCTGCTCTTGCTGCTGCTGATTATAGGAGGTGGCATCCATTGCATGTCCCCCGCTGATCGTCAGATTGCGGGTCAGTGGCGGTGGTTTTTGATACCCACCACTCATTTGGCCAGGTTGCTGATGGATTTGTGCGTGTGTTGCTGCTCCTTGATACGACTGTTGCTGCTGTTGTTGTGGCGGCATTCGTTGCTGTTGCTGTTGCTGCTGCTGCTGCTGATGCTGCTGCTGATGCTGCTGATGTTGATGCTGACGTTGCTGTTGTTGTTGCTGCTGTTGTAGGTGTTGCTGCCGTGCAGTGAGTTGTTGCTGCTGCTGTTGCTGGGGTGCCTGTCTCTGCTGCTGCGCCATGTGTTGTTGCTGCTGCTGTTGCTGCGGTTGTTGTTGCTGCTGTTGTGAATGTGACTGCTGCGGCACCTGGCTAGGATGCGCCAGATGTGGATGTTGTCGCATTAATCCGTCCAATTCGCCCTGCAACGAGTTGAAAACACAATTTTTAAGTGTATAAGCCAAATTAAATCTGAGATGCAGATTCTTTCATTTTTATTTATACAATTTATGGACTATTTTTAGTCAATATTTAATAACTAAATAAATTAAATAAATATATTTTCTGAGAATTTCTATTGTAAAACAGTTTCAAACACCTGTTCACTGTAACTGATCGCAAATGAATTTGTTATTAAAAAACAAACTAAGCCTGAAGAATTTAATAACTCAAATCTACTGAACTATGTAGCCCATTTTAATTAATGAAAACTAGCGGAATTCTTTCGCTTTTTCTCAACTAAACTATTTGCCCTGTCGCCTTAATTGCTGCAAAATTTTCTAAGTGTTTTTAACAGACTTGTTTAAATTTTTACATTAATTAATACGATAACTAGAAGCTGATCAATTTGTTGCATAATTTATTGCCAAATAAAGATTTTAATTCTTTTGTCAATTATTTTTATGATGTGCATTTTTATATTTTCCTCTATGATTTTCCTTTATTTGGTGATCTAGCTTTTGCAATATTTAGTGAATTTGAGTGAAAGATTGTAAGTTTAAAATGTTCACCTGATAGTAACGCGGATCATCCTCGGGATAGGCTCCCGATCTCTGCGGATGCTGCTGACCATAGCCCTGTTGTTGTTGTTGCTGCTGCTGTTGGTATTGTTGTGCCTGCTGCGGGTTCATTGGCTGCATGCGTTGCCGCTGCTGCTGCTGCTGTTGCTGCTGGCCGGGACTCATGGGCTCCATGCCGCTGTCGGAGATGGAGAGGCGACGATTCGTGGGCTGCTCTTGCTGTGAGTACTGGCGACGCAACATGCTGCCAGCTCGCTGCATGGGCAAGTTCTCCTTCTCGGCGGCACTGCGCGTCCGCTCCAGCTTGGGCCGCTTATCCGTCGTATCGTGCGGATCCACAATGGCCTGCTGCGAGATGTCCTGTGCAAGCAATAAGTGAAGGCAATGTAAATATATAGCTTTAAATTGGGCTTATCAGCTTGCCACTTACGCTGCTGCCATCGGGCTCGATGCGTCTGATGAAACCATCTTGTTGCACCGCGGTTTTGTTGATCCACTGGCCCGTCTTTGAGAGCAGCTCCTGTTTCTTGCGGCACAGAATGCACACCCAAATTACCTAAAATTATAGAAAATATTCAGTTTTACTTCAAATTCAATAACTGGATATTAAGATTAAGATTAGATTGGAATTAATATAAAGACCCAGAAAATTTGATTTTAGATTAAAGAGATAAAGAGATTAAGATTAAGATCAATTGCGATTTTATTACAATAAAAAGCAAAAAACCTTTGAACGAAATATGGAATCAAGCCCAAATAAGCTCCTTATCTAAGTTCCTAAATAAATATATAGATGCTAATGAATTTCACAATAAGAGATATAAATCAAAAAAATATTTCTAGAATTCAATTGATTTCTATCTGATGCAATATACAAAATATGAACACAGTTACTTTTAGGTTACAGTCAACAACAATATTCTCAATAATAAACTAGTCCAGAGCATGGAACAGGACGATAGGATGCCACATCGGCTCCTAAGACCCATCGAGGTGCTTCACATCGCCGGTGACCGCGGTCAACTTTCCTTTGGATTACATATGTTGAGCGTGGAGATCGCGAATACTTTTCCGGCTTCTGCTGTTTTCAGTTGTGGGCACCCCGATGGTCTTGGGCCTGGCTGTTTGAGTGGAGTGAGCGGGACGAGGAGGTGGAGCATGAGGAGGGACTGTTGCAACTGGAAATTCAAGGGATTCACATGTCGCTCGTATTTCAAGCCGCCCATTCTAATGACAGTTGAATATTATCTGCATGGCAAATTGAAATTCTATTTGGCGGTTTTTTTTTACCATGCCGAAAATTGTTAAATTTTGTTCTCATCGTATTTTTACCTACTACACGTACGTATATCTGACTATATGTGTGTGTGTGTGTGAGTGTGTATACATGTGCACAGTGTGTGTTAATATGTATGTGACATCTTGGCAAGGCTTCAACGAATCGTTTGGCAACGTGGCCAGCAAATGATAAGCCCAGGCGAGAGCCAAACCGTCACGGCTCACTGAACAAAATAAAAATTGAAAGAAATACCGAAAACGTGTAATTGAAATGCAATGCAATGTGAAATGGTGAATGTGAAATGTTAATGGTGTGCCAAAATACTAAAATGCTTGCTGAACGGGCCCCAAACGAATTGCAGCCAAAATTGCTAAAAACTTTGCCTTGAACTGAAAGTCAAACTAGAAAACTTGTGAGAAAAAAAATGGAATTTAGTAGAACTTGTGTGATGAGTTGCAATAAATTAACTAGATTTGCTCAAAAAGCTCCCAATATTTGCCAAGTGGTTCTCATTAGTGAAGCAGATAAAATTTGGTTTAGAAACTAGTTCAAAATTGATAACAATGAATATAGATCGAGTATTTATGCATCGTGAGCGGATTGTGATATATAGCGACTTCCTGAATTCTAACAAGTGAGAAAGCTCTAGCAGAGAGAGAGAGATCCTCGAGGATATTCCCTGAACCCAGCTTTTAGAGATGCTTCCTTCTGCATATTACATGTCTGCACAAAACCCTTGTACAATTTTTAACCATAAGGATCTGGAGCAAGTCCTTGAGAAAATATAAATATAACTAACGTACTCAACAAAAAATCCTTTCTTTCCATTTAAGATTATACATATTCAATATATGCGCAAGGTTTAAGGCTCTAAACACCAGAAACCGAATTTCGCGAGTCTCAGCTTCTAAAATTACCCTACAAAAACTCGGCATCTGATTATAGAAAAGTACCTAATATTATTTTAAGACTTATTATAAAATGAGAACTTCATCAGTTCATTTGAAATGTTATGTTAAGACAAAGCAATTATTAATAGATCTTTTTACACCCACTTCTGGCTTAAAATTTCTATAATGAGTGTGGTATTTCATCAAGGGAAAAACTATTTAAAGCGCGCTTTCTTTGGTGGCCTTTCAATGTCAAAAAGCAAGTGGCAAATGGAACCCGCGCGACCATTGAAATCTAAACGCCCAATAAATATATTGACTGAGTTTTATTGTCGCGCGTTGGCGACACAGACCATTATTTATGCGTGGTGCACGCAGAGTTTTGGGGGGCAATTGGTAGTAGCTGGCCAATAGGGCTGTGCGATGGGCGATGGGCGATGGGCCCTCGCTTCAATGAGCAGCAGCAGCAGCAGCAGTTAGCAGGCAGTAGTCAGTAGTCAGCAGACGCCAGTATAGCTGGCGACGGAGTGTCATCCAATTTATCAATGGCTGGCTGGCAAAATAAGCAGGACTTGCAGAGTGTCGCTGTCATTTTGTTGGCTACACGCGTCGCCGAGTGACAGGCGCGTCTAATGGCACTTGAAAATTGCCAACTGGAAAATGTGTCAGGCCCGGCTGTCAGCTGAGATGCACACACACACACACACACACACACACACATGCACACACACAAGCTCACATATACCCAACATATACACGTCTAAAACAAAACGTTTTACTTTAAGCATGTTAACATTTTTATTATAATCCAATTTATTTTAGTCGGCCTTCTGTTTTGCTCTTAAAGTATGTAATATTTTCAATACGGTTCTTGAACTATACTTTTGAGTATTTTGTTTATTAGTGGGAATTAAAACGGGGAACTTAAGCTGGCTAAGCGACCGACTTCTATGGACATACTTCTATTGTAAATATTGCGTTAACCAACTTCTTTTCTGAAGAGAGACTGGAGCACAGCAGAGAGACAAAGCACTTCTTTTCTTTCGATCAAAAAATTGTATGGACAAAGTTTTGAAATTTTACCTTGTAGCTTTTGACAATTGACATTTATTTCATATTTTCCGTATTATTAATTGTGTTTTTATTCATCTAATGATATGTGAGACAGGTTGAACTTAAGTTGGCCTTTCACAAAATGTACATAAACTAATGTGTTGAGCACATACACAGTTTCTTCTTTGTACACATTTTTCTCAGTGTATATAAGCCAGGTGCGAAGAGGGTAGAGTAGAGAGAGGGCTAACAAAAATAGAACACTTACCTTGTTGCTGCGCAGCGTCACTTTGCCGCCGCAGCGAGCACAGCAGCGAATATTGCAATAATGGCAAATGTGGCCAACGCCATCGGCAAACTTGGTCTTAAGGCAAATGTGACAGGTGGCATCTAGTTCGACGCCGGCCTTTTTTTGCTGCTCGGATCGCTGCCTGATTTGCATCTCCAGCGTGACAACTTCGTCCTGCTTGCGGCTGTAGAAGATGCGTTGACAGTCCGTTAAATTGCATTGTTATGGGGCTTATCAGCCAGCTGTTACCAGCTCACTCACCGCATTATCTCGTTCTGTTGGTCCTCCTCCTGTTTCTGCCGCATAAGGACATTCTCAATCTGCATGCGCTCGTGTGGCGTCAAATGCGACAAATCGGGCATCTCATCCATGGCTAAAGACAGCTGGAGCTAAACTGTTGCTTTGAATGTTAGTTGTTGTTGTTGTTGCTGTTTGTGCCGCGGCTTTTGTTTCGTTGGTTTAGCACATAAATACTAATTGTAGTTGCACTAATTAGTTAATTTAATCGCTTGAATTTATGTATACGAGTATATAATTATTAATTATTTATTATTTAATTTATAGAATTTGTTTGGTTGTTGGGAAATTTTAAAGCTTCTCTTTTTATGTTTAAATAGATTTTGGTTTTGAATGCAATTAGGCAATATTTATAAATATAATATTTTATTTATTTTTTTATAATTATTATTATTGTTATTAAATTTATTTGGATTATTAAACCATTCTGACAGAAAATCACAGAGCAAATTTCTAAATTTTACTTTTTTTATTTATCTTATATTTGTTATATTTTTGTTTGAAAGAAGTTTTTTTGTTTTTATAGATGTTGGTTTTCTGGTTTCTTTTTTTAGACTTTTGGAAATTCGTTGAAACTTTTTACAAAGGTGCTGATCAGTTTTGCAGTTTCCCCTTTCGCTAAGCACTTGGATGATGTTGTTGTAATGTGTGTTGTAATGTGTATGCCAGTGAGTGAGATGTGTGTGTGTGTGTGTGAGTGTGTGTGTCTGTGTGTGTGCGTGTATATGTGTGTTGCACTTTGACCTTTTCAAGGTCAGTTCTCCTTCTCAGTATTTTTAGGTCGCTTTCATATTAAGAGCAAAAATTTTAGAAATTTTTTAACTGCGCCTCGATTCTGTTTTTGTTTCATTTTGTCAACGCTCTAAAACGTTGCCTTGCCTTTGTTGTTGCTGTTGTTGTTGTATTTGCTGGTGTTTGAAGTATTGAATGCGTTTGCAGTTGTTGTTCTTGTTGTTGCTGTTGCAGTTTAAATGGTTGTTGCTGTTGGTTATGTTGCTGCCGATGGTCTCCTTGTTGTTGTGATGTTGTGTGTGGCGAAGCCATCTTTGATGAGCAATTTAAAGCATTCGCTATTTATGCAGAAGAATTTCAGTAGTCAGCACTACAAAAGAGAGATAAGATAAGATATAAGAACTGATTAATTTATAAATAGCGAAATATTATACAAGTGCTTTATTAATGTTCTCAACAGAGTGTCTTGTAATGTAAACTAAATTGTGCTCCTATGAAAACGAAATTAAATAAAAGACCAGCTAATTTGCGAATTAATCGCACAAATATTCCTTTCTGAATTTGTAATAACAAATATGGAACTTATTACTTAAATAATATTGAAACAATTGTTTACCACCGACAATTATTATTTTGTTATGAGTTTCGACAATTTTTCGAAGCGTCGAACGGAAATGAATTCCATCTACAGCTAAACTAAATTGGAACCAGACCAGTTGTAATTAGATTCTTTGGCACGTTTCTGATAAACACAAAATTTCGATTAAAATGCTAAATCAAGCTGCAGCTGAAAAGTAGGCAACAGTTTTTGGCTCTAACCATTTAATTAAAACTCGAAATGAAATGCAGTCTGCCAAACTCGAAACATATGTATAAACAAAACGGAAATGAGAATTTTAACGAGATCGAGCTGAGGACCACGAGCGGTGGCATGAAGAGGGCTGTTTAGGAAGGCAGACTGAACACAATACAAACATATGTAACAGTAAGTATTTATGACCATCAAATAAAAAGCCGCAGAAACAAAAGGGCCGCTCCACAATAGGTGCGCGAGAGCGAGAGAGAAAGACAGAGAGAGAGAGAGAGAGAGAGTGGAGGAGAGTAGTGAAGAGTAGAGCAGCAAAGCAGCTGGTCACAGGTGCAGAGAGAGAGGGATTGAGAGCTGTGCTGCTTGCGGTTGACCCGGTGACGCACGTTTAAAATGCGAAAATATATACGAGGCCACACACACACACACACACACACTCACACACACGCAAATGCATGTAAAAACGGGGGGAGAGGCTTGGTGCAGAACTATTTATGTTGACAAACTTGCTCGTTGGGGCGCGCAGGACTGAAAAATGCAAGCGGAAGCAAACACTTCCCCGACCGAAAGAGAGAGAGGAAGAGCGCGCACAGAGGGTAGCATATTGGAAGGTGGGTTGGGGAATACTCTTATAATAGATGCAGGATAAGGAAACTGCAGCAAGAGCCTCTTATGCGCCCCATTTCCGTCCACATGTGTGTATATTTTGCTTATCTGCAGATTGAAATGCGGCTTTTACGCTCTTGAATTAACTTATTTCATAGATGGCGTTGATAAAATTAAAGCAATGATTTGGCAAGAAACCACAAAATAGAAGTAGCACATAAGTAGTAACACAGTGGGTTGGGCCAAGTTACTTGTATTAATAGGATATCGACCTCCATGTCTCAAGCGATTGCTGTGGCTGACATTTTAGAGTAGCATAGAGCAGGTCAGGCTTCAAATGTGGCACAACACACATCAGCAATGCAGATGAGAGAACGATTTCTGAACGTTTTCTTCAGTGTGTAACTTGGAAACAGTTTGCAGCTTATTTGCAATTTAAAAATCAAATCTGTTTAATCAAATAATCATTCAAAAACAGATTACTATATATATATATACATATATATATATTTTCTACTAGCTTGAAACTTTGGAATTAATAAAAATAATTAATTCAAAATGTAATTTTTTAATCAAAAAAGTAATCATTAATTAATAAGACTATTTCTTCAAATAAAACTTAATTATTTTATAATTTCTTCTTAAAATTAATTAAATATATATATATAATATTTTAAATATATATATTATATAAATAATAGGACAGTTCTTAAAGTTAATATAGATTCTTATACAGAGTATGAATTAGAAGAGTAAAACATTTAAATTTAAAATAAAACAAGGTTGAGTTCCTTAAGCAGTTTAATAGTTGTTCGAAAGCATCTAACGAGGTCAGTAAAAATAATTTCATAAATATTTGCTCATCCGAAAGCAAACTCGAAGTGCCCATTGATAATGTAACTGGCACATTGCTAGCCTTAAGACAACATACACACACTCAGCTGGAGCTAGAGCCGCAGGCAAACAGGTCTTGACACAACAAGACGTCTGCACACTGCTCACTGCCCGCTACCTCTCCCCAACCCCACTTCTTAAGCATCCCTATTCCGACCGCTGTCACAGCAGCAATAGTTCAGGCGAGATAATATTATGTTTTCAGGGTGTTATGGCCTGTTTCGAGTTCGTGTCGCTGGCAGCTCAGCTCCGTTGGGCTCATGAATTGGTAATGCAGCAAATGCAGCAGAAACAGCAACAAACAACAAATAATAAACAGCAACAACTACAGCGACAACTGGAGCAGCTACTGGCAGCAACAGCGACATATATCCATGCAAAATTGATGGCTGCACTGGGAGCATTGCGGGGCCTTAAGTGACTATTTTATGTGCCAGGACAAGCAGAGACAGAGCCAAAGCCAGAGGCAAAGGCATGGGCATAGGCACAGGATCGGACTGTTGCTGTTATTTGCTTGATGGCCAGATTGACAACGAAAAATTGATAGAGTATCCAACAAATGCAGGTAGAAAACACATAAGACACTTATCTAAACAAAATTAGAACATGGCACACAAGCAATTTCAGCTTGAGACAAAATGATGAAATGCAAAAAATGGGAAAACTTTAACATTAACGAGTAGGGCAAAACTGAGCGAGGGAATGCGGGCAATATTGCTGTCACTGAGAGTAAGTTGAACAATTCACCACAGCGCGCAAAGAGAGCAGGAGCGCAAGAGGGAGAAAGAGAGAGAGAGAGAGAGACAGAAAGAGATAGAGAGAGAGAGAGAGAGAGAGAGAGAGAGTGCACAAAGGGAAAGAAAACTCACTTGAAAATTTCCCAGTATCCCTATTGTGAGTGTGTTTGTGTTGGTATTTTTGTTACAAAGTAGAGCAAAATGTAGTCAAAAATACAAAACAACATGGAAAATAAATAAAATGAAAACCCCCATAAGCAGAGACGAACAAGTGAAACTTAAAGGGCACAAGGATAAATTAAAAGTATAGTAATGAGTGAAGTGAAGAGGTCAATCACAAATTTGTACCTTATCAAGCCTTGGGCAATTATAATTATCAAATTTGCATCAAGGTTAATGCACATAATGTATACGCCACGTTCGCTCTGCGATTGAAATGAAATGTCGTGTGATAAATGTGAAAGTTCACCGGCAAACTGATAGCTGCTGGCGATACCTACAACTGCTTGTAATCTGCCAACTTAATTTATCTCTCTCTCTTTATCTCTCTCTCTCTCTCTCTCTCTCTCTCTCTCTCTCTCTCTCTGTCTCTATTGCTCGCTCATGTACTCTCTAGCTAATTGTCACTTTCAATTAGCAATATCAATTGAAAGAGCAGCTGTAAGTGCAAGGGCACGGTAGCAACATAGGCAACAACAGCAACCAGCACGCAAAAAAAAAATGCAAAAGGTCAAAATGTAAAGCTTTCACACATTTTAGCTTACAATGAGAAAATATGTCCATGCCACATTCACTGTTGGACGCCTCCGCACTCTGCCACACATTTTACTGACAGCATTCTGTCATTGGCATAGAGAACATTTACGATTTTGCATCTTTTTTCTTCGCGAAAATAATAATTGTGTAGTGAACAGAAGCATCCTTTTAATTAGAGCTTAACGAGCCCAGTAATTTACATACTCAATCAGTTCCACTGATAGCTGATATGGCATAAGAAAAATATGAAAACTATAAGCCAATGCCAAAATTAAAGATTACGTTAAGAAGTTGTTCATAAATAGACACGCACATTAAAAAAGATTAAGAATAAATTGTGTCACAAATTTGAAATCAAATTGTATTTCATTTATATAACCTTCTTTTTAATTAATAATTTTCTAATCTTAAATATTTCAATTTGGATTTTGTTTAGTGTTTTTTTGTTGATATACTCATGGCAAGGGTAACAAAAATGTTGTGTTGATATTAAATTCTATGTACATCTGAAAAGTAAAGAGCACATCTTAAATATGTAAAGCTAAAAATATTCAGATGATTTGAGACCTTTCAAATACTATGAGTGGAATAACCTTTAGCTCGATACATCTTAACAACGTTATTAGAATCCATCGAGTGGTGCTTAATTTTTAATAGAATAATTGAACTCGCTGTTCA